TTAGGTGGTGTTCGCGTCGCTGCTGTAGACCACCTGCGCCTCGGTTTCCGAAAATTTATCTCTACAATACGCACTGTACAGCCCTCGATAATGTTGTTCAAAGCTTCATTACGAATCTTCCCGTTTTTTTTGCGCCCTTCTTCCGTGGATGCCGAACTAAGCTTAAACAGAGTGTGATTTCCGTGTTCCACAACTTATGCAAATGCGTTGACGACAACGATCGTGTCCCCTCGGAGTTAGGACATGTAACCATTTTGCATTTTACAATTTGATCGGACAGTCCGCTGAAAACGAAACGGACGGTGCTATTATCGAGAACGGAACCGCCCGAATTGAATTTTTGCAACTTAAGACTGTCCGAAGGCAATGTGCCACTTTTTCGGGGTTGTAGACTTTTGCGACATCTGTAGCCTCGCTAGAGGATCTGTATCTTCGTAATTTAATTCACGATATTTTGCAATCTTATTTTGTTCGCCAATCGTAAGAAGTTACTGCACACTGCATTTCTTCCGACCGTCCGTTTGGGTTTCGGACTGTCCACGGTTCACAAAGCGGACAGTTGGAAATGCGAAAAAATGTTACGACAGTCCGTTTTGTTGGCGACGTCGTCACCACCGCTGCGAAAATGCTAACGTTATGCTGCGAAGCCAGTTACATACCGCCAGACTGTACGGTCCGCAGTTCGAACCGTTGGTTGCAAAATGGTTAAGCGCCCTTAGGCAATTGCAAAATTACAGTCGTGGAGATCGATGTGCCAGGGTCGGTGAACATCCCCAAACCTTGGTATTTGATTGTGACGCGTCCTAAGCACTGGGCACTACCGTGCCAAAAAATAGCATGTTCTGTCAAAGTTGTAGAGGGAGTTCACGAAAAATAAGGGGGTGAAACAGAGCATCCCGCCTGGCGCAGGTTCAGTGCTGTCGCAGGTGAAAATGAACATTCTCAACGGCGCGCGCAGGTGTAACCCCCTGTCTCACCCTCCGCACCCTCAGCAGAAGTGGCAGCAGAGAGCGCCGCATCATCCACTCCACGCCAAAATGCTGGACTTTGACTTATGCCAACTGAGCCCATGCCCCCACACCATACAGAGCGTGATTCCCGGAAATTTCGCAAGTTATGCCAATGTGGAGTGGGGTGGGGACGAAGGAACCCGATGCCCCTCCCCAGGTGTACCCCCTGTCTCGCTCTCCGCCTCGTCAACAGTTACGGCAGCACTGGATGCCTCAGTCCACACCAAAATGCTGTGGCATTTCCCTTGACTAACTGAGCAATTACCCTGTCTCGATTGAAAGACACAGGTGTTTCTATTTGGAGTCCTGATTTCGACAAGGAAACGTTTGTCACGGCCTTGAAAAACTTATATTGTTTCGCAAGACTTGTCCCCGTGATATCGCACCCAAACACCACACGCATCTCGCCCCTTGATGGTCACTTAGTAGAATTTGAAAACCTTTCGGGCCTAGATCTCGTTGCGTTTCGTTGGGGCATTCTTTCTTGGAAACCTCCAATATTTTAAATTCACAACCTCCTCCAAACCTCTGGTTCACGTTGCACTTCCCAACGTGGCCCCAAGCCCACCTATTTATCACTTTCCTGACGAAACACACCCTACACAGATCTAGCTTATGCCCTCGTGCTTTCCATCCCATAAAAATTGGTGAGATTCTGTTTTCCAGGCCTTTTCTCAGTTTAGAAGCCTGTGAACTCTGCACGATAAGCCTTCCCGGGGAAAAACTTCCCTTAGTTCTCAGCAGAGAGAACTCCCTTCCTCCCACTAGAGCACATTTGTCGAAGCCCACGACGCTAGGCCCCTCCGCGAAGTCGCGATAGGTATGGCAGTCCGGGGAACTGTAGCTTCGCCAACATGGCTGTTTGTCTCAGAGCCACGCCCACAAGTTTTTTGTCGCTCACGGGCAGTGGAAGGCGAGAGGGTGTTCTCGGATTTTGCGGTGCTCGACGTCCACCGTGAATTTTGTCTCTTAGACAAAAAGACAACTTTAATGTTTATTACTGTATTCGTAGTGTCGTTTCACGAGTGCATCTCAATCCATTTCGATTCGGCGGTTGATGGATCTCGCACGGTAGGGCACTGCCAGACGAGCTGATGCGAAGAACGGGTTTGGGTGGCTGGGGGACTCAAGAACCCCGTCATAGAAATCTACGCAGCCAATCACACGTTCGGTTGTAGTACCTGGTCGTCGATGGAGATATCAGCTGTCATGCTACTATACTCGACAAGGAGAGGGAGTGGTGGTGTGTCGTTAGTGGCCAGCACGCCTTTTGTCGATGGACTCCGGGTCGCTACTGTACAGGCAGTCAGCAGTCTTTCGAAGCAGTCGGCTTCATCTGCGAGGCGCAGCGCCTGCGGAAATCGGTTTGGGTGGATGGTGGACGAAGCGCCTGTGATAGTAATCTACGCAGCCAATCACAGATCGGATAATGTACCTGGTCATCGACGTAGATACGAGCTGTCGTTAGTAATCGACAAAAGGTGAGGAGTGGTGGTGTGTCGTTAGTGGCCAGCATGCCTTTTGTCGTGTATTGCCGCCGCGACGACTCCGTAGGTTCAGACAGTCCGAGGCAGTCGGCTTCATTTGCGCAGAAGGCGCGGCGGCGCCTACCGCTCGCTTTCGACCCCAGAAGTACGCACCGATGCGCGGGCAAAGGTCAATTTTCCTCCTCCCCCCCGGCTTCGCTTCCCCATCTGGCAACAGCCCCCCCCAGAAGATAGGCTCTTCCCGCCGAGGATAAGCTCCCCGCGGAGAATAAGGATAAGCTCTCCCCCGCTACGCTGGACACCAAGTAGTGCAGTCGCTAAGTCAAGCGCTTGACTTCCCCTTTGGTCCTCGCGCTGCTTGGGCTTGACTTTCCCTTGGGTCCTCGCGCTTTCTGGGGCGAGGGGGAAGACCTCTCGGGGGAAAGGTCCCCATGGGAGCGGGAAGGGGGGAGGAAAGGGGGAAGAAAGGAGGAGGAAGACGAGACTTCTTATAGTATATAAGCGTGTGCTTGGGGCTCAATCCACATACTATCGCCTTCACTGCTCGCAACTCACACCTTTGTGGTTGGTGCTCCCCAGCCAATCATCAGGCTCCACCGCCACGAGCGTCAATTGCAGTGCCAGCATCGTTACGAGCGTCACAAGAGTCAACAGGCTCGTCATCAGCAGCACCAGCATCATGGGCTCCCGTGGACTCGTGCTCGCTGCATTGCTTGCTCTCATGCTCTCGGGTATGATGCGGCATCATGGCTTCTCGTGGGCTCGTGCTTGCTACGCTCGTGCCTCATCCTGCTCTCATGCACTACAAAACTTGAAACTACTTCCCTCCTTGCTCTCCGCCTTCTCTCCTCATTTCCTCTGCTCCCCCTCTCCCCCTCCCCCTCTCCCCCCACTCCCCCTGCGCGCCAGTGTGTGCGCCCATGGCGGAGGCTATCCGCGACGCGCCGCTGCCGCCCTGCCCGTGGGGGCAGGCTAGGATAGACGGCAACTGCGCTGGTGTGTGCTTCACCCCTCTCCCTCTTGCGTGCTACACATTGCTGCACCCTGAATTCTCGCCCGCCTGTATCGCCAACCTTCTGAAATCTCTTGTCTGATCTATGCCTGCTGCCATACCTTCTACGTGCCATACATGTCACCAACATCTCTTCACCCCACTCCTCGTTTCGTGTTTGTGCGTGTTACATGCCTGCACATGTTCTCCTCACGTGCTCACGTGTGTTCTCCGTGTGTCTGCGTGTGTCCTCCACGTGTTGCCCGCCTGCTCCAGACAAGTGCAAGTTTGCGGGTTGTGGCGCCGACTCGGTGTGCAAGAAGAACGACACGGGCGACGCAGTCTGCGTGTGCATCAACCCCGAATACGTGCTGCAACCCGACAAGTCATGCGCACGTACGAGACATCACCCCTTTGCTTGGGGGGTTGAGGCTCCCCCCTTTTTTTAAAAAAGACTTTGAGCATGCTGGAAGGGTGCCCCTTCCCTTAGCTGGAGCGTTGTGTTCTTCCTTGGTGGCTGAATCTCATTGTGCCTCCCCCCCCCCCCCCCGCCCCCCCTCTTGCCCATGCCCCATGCCCCATGCCTCGCCTTGGCCCCACTGCGCCACGTGGCAGACTCGTGTGCCAACATGGAGTGTGCAAGATCTTCAACTCAGCCTGATCGTTCTCTTGTCTCCATGCTCCTGCCCCATGCCCTTGCAGACCCGTGTGCCGGCACGTGGTGTGCCATGGATGACCCCAATTCCTCGTGCGTGAAGCAGGAAGGCCAGCTCGCTACGTGCGTCTGCAAGTGGGGCTTCGCCATGACGCCCGACCAAAGCTGCGTCGGTCAGTGCTGCTCTGCTGTGCTTCGCATCTGCCTGCTTCAAGCTTCTTGACTCTCACCCGCTTCATTCTGCTGCCAGCTCCTTCTGTACCTCTCTTCCCTTTCTGCCCGCTCTCGTCTCACCCACCTCCCTCCCCTCCCCTCCATCTCTGCCCTCCCTTGGCAGACTCATGCACGCTTAAGGCCTGTGTGGACGGCACGTGCAGCAAGGACGAAAACGGGATGGCCGTCTGTTCCTGTGACGCTGAGGCTGGCTTGAAGCTGCAGCTTGACGGCAGGACGTGCAAGGGTACGTGCTCAATATGGTGCGCGCTGCTGCGGTAGGTGCTGCTGTTGGCTTAATGTGGTGTATGTTGTGCTGTTTGCAACTCCTGTATGTGCTGCTGTGCTGCTACGTAGTTTCTAACTTTGCCGTCTCGTCTCTTCCCCACTTCTCTCCCGCCCGCCTTTCAGACGTGTGCGTCATCGAGGACTGTGAGGGCAAAGACGCCAATTCCACGTGTGTGAGGAATCTGGACGTGGCCCACTGTGAACGCAAGACCAACTTCCAGCTGTTCGAGGGCGTATGCACTGGTACGCTCATACGTCTCAGTTCGAGTGAGTTTGGGTGTCTGCCTCTCTGTGCTGTGTTTGCATAAATGCTTTAATTGATGCGTCCGCTTTACTCTCCTCTCTCAAGCTACCTTATGCTCGCTCCCGTCCACGCCTCCCCTTCACCCCTCCTCTCCGCATCTGCCCTCCCAGACACGTGCGAGGTGAAGGCGTGTGTGGATGGCACGTGCACCCAGGACGTCAACGGAACGGCATCCTGCCATTGTGACGCTGACGCTGGCCTCGTGCTGCTGGATGACGAGAGGACGTGCGAAGGTAAGGGCCGGCGATTGTCGATGATGAGAATGGTAGGTGCCACTGTGTTCTACTTTCCGAACTTCCTCATCTTTCCTTTCGTTTCTGGTTCACCCCCCGTGCAGATGTGTGCATTATCAAGGACTGTGAAGGCAGTGATGCCAACTCCACGTGTGTCAAGAATGGCACCGTTGCAACCTGTGTCTGCAAGACTGGATTCGAGCTGTTTGAGGGCAAATGCATTGGTACGCTCCCTGCTCTCACTTTCTGTGTGCCTGGGTCCGCCTCTCTGTACGTGCGTCTCTGTCTCTGCTTTTTGTTGCTTTTTCCACTCTGAGTTGGCCTTTTGCTTAATCTCCTTCACCCCTCTTTCCACATCCCCTCCGCCCCTGCCCTCCCAGACACGTGCGAAGTGAAGGCGTGTGTGGATGGCACGTGCACCCAGGACGTCAACGGAACGGCATCCTGCCATTGTGACGCCGATGCTGGCCTTGTGCTACTGGATGACGAGAGGACATGCGAAGGTAAGGGCCGGCGATTGGTGGTGTTGACAATGGTAGTGTGACACTGTGTTTTCAACTCTGTTATGTCCTGTTGTGGTGTAGTCATCTCCTGCTTTCAAAAACTTTGTCATCTTTTCAAAAACTTAGTCACCTTTCCATTTCTGTTTCACCCCGCTTCCAGATGTGCATTATCAAGGACTGTGAAGGCAGTGATGCCAACTCCGAGTGTGTCAAGGATGGCATAGTTGCAACCTCTGTCTGCAAGACTGGATTCGAGCTGTTCGACGGCAAATGCACCGGTATGCAGCACGCTTCCTGATCTCACTTTCTGTGTGCCTGGGTGACTGGGTCTGTCTCTCTATGCATGCATATGTTGGTTTTTGTCACGTTTTTCTCCTGGTCAATCAACCTTTTGCTGAATTACCCCTCTTTCCACTTCTCCCTCGCGCCTGCTCTCCCAGACACGTGCGAGGTGAAGGCGTGTGTGGATGGCACGTGCACCAAGGACGTCAACGGAACGGCGTCCTGCCATTGTGACGCCGACGCTGGCTTCGTGCTGCTAGATGACGAGAGGACGTGCAAAGGTAAGGGCCGGCGATTGTCGTTGCTGCTGTTGGCTCAGTCTCGTGTGTGTTGTGCCGATTTCAACTACTGTACCACTGTGCCGTCTTGTCTCTCTCTCCCGCTTCTCTCCCGCCCGCCTTTCAGACGTGTGCCTCATCGAGGACTGTGAGGGCAAGGACGCCAAGTCCATGTGTGTGAGGAATCGGGACGTGGCTCACTGTGAATGCGTGCTCAACTATGAGCTGTTCCGGGGCGTATGCACTGGTACGCTTCCTGGACTCACTTTGTGTGTGCCTAGGTGGGTGTGTATGTGTATCTGCTTTTCAAAGATTCGTCCACATTTTACTGCTCTCTCAAACTACCTTTCGCTTACGCCTCTCCACCCCTCCGTCCACATCCCCTCTGCCCCTGCCCTCCCAGACACGTGCGAGGTGAAGGCATGTGTGAATGGCCTGTGCCGCCAGGACAGCAGCACTGGAGCGGTATCCTGCCATTGTGACGCCGACGCTGGCTACGTGCTGCTGGATGATGAGAGGACGTGCAAAGGTAAGGGCCGGCGTTTGTCGATGCCCACAATGGTAGGTGCCACTATGTTTCCAACGCTGTTATGTGCTGTTGTGCTGCAGTAAAAAATATCCTATTTCCCAAACTTTGTCGCCTTTCTTGTTCATATTTGTTTAACCCTCCTTGCAGATGTGTGCATTATCAAGGACTGTGAAGGCAGTGATTTCAACTCCACGTGTGTCAAGAATGGCACCGATGCAACCTGTATCTGCAAGACTGGGTTCAAGCTGTTTGAGGGCAAATGCATTGGTATGCCTGCCCTTCCTGCCACCACCCCTCCCCTCTCCCCTATACCTGCCAGCTCAGGGGCTGGTAGTTCATAATAGGACCGTTGCATTTACTGCTTCTTTTTCTCTCCCTCCCTCGGCGTATGTGTGCGCCTCTACGCATTTGTGCTTTCACATTTCTTGTGTGTTTATGTGTGTTTGTATGCCCACGCCACTCCCCCTTCTCGAAAGCCACCTTTGCCCCACCCCTGCTTCCACTCTTCCTTCAACCCTGCCCTTCCAGACACGTGCGAGTTGAAGGGATGTGGCGTAAACGGCAAGTGCCACAAGGACAGCACCACTGGAGAGGCATCCTATGTTTGCGATCTGGGCTTCACACTGCAGGCTGATGGCACCACGTGCAAAGGTACGTGCTCAGCATGGTGTTTCCTACTGTCCTACTTCTTAGGGCATCTGCTCAATATTCAAAAACGTCCTCTGGTAAACCTTAACCCGCATCCAACCTCCAACCCTTCTTTTCTGACCCTTTTGTCAACCCATTCTTCCAAACCCCTACCCTCAGATAACTGCGAGATCCTGACCTGCACTGGTCCCAAGGAGCACTGCGCCAAAGACGTCACCACCGGCCAGGCATACTGCAAATGCGATGATTTCTTCCACCGGGCAGTTGACGGCTTCTGCCAGGGTACGTGTTTTGCTTCACTCGTTTGCCTATCTTCTCCCCTTTCTCTTAGCTTGCCATTTTATTTCCCTTGCACCTCGTCGCACCTCCCGTTTCCTGCTGTTGGCATGTGGCAGCCTGCTGCTCTTGTGGGGGAGGACGGGGAGGGTTTGTATCATCCTCTAGATCGTGCATCAGAAAGAACTGTTTTTCCCTCATACTCCCCCTCCAGATTGGTGCCCCTTCAAGGGCTGCAACACCACTATCTCGACGTGCGTGAGGAGGGTGGATGGAATTCCGTTCTGCATCTGCAACAAGGGTGTCCCGCTGACCAACAAGGCTTGCGTTGGTAAGAACCTAGTTATTCCTCCTGCATGTGTCTTACAATATCCTCTCCCTTCCACCCAAATCCTCCCCCTCCCCCGTCCCTTATCCAATTCTTCCGTCATCATCTTTCTCTCTCCATATCCCCAAAAGATTCTTCCCCAGTCGTTGTCCAACCCCGTCAGCTTGTCCCTTGCTTATTCATCTCCTTTTCTGTCTCCCCCCATCATCAGGCAAGGTGCCCTCAGCATAGCCCTGAGGAATGTCTACTCTACTGATGGAGCACCCTCATCGCTCTCGTGATGGCACACTCGCATCACTCCTGTGAAGGCACACCCTCATCAGCATATCAGCCCATCTGCATGATTTGCGTGCATCAGGACAGTCCCTGCTTGAGTGCCTCTAGAAGGGAGGATAGATAGAAGAGCCTTGGCCCTTGTGTGGCCTAGAGGGCAAGATCTTCACGCATCACGGTACAAGGCGTCAGCCGCATTCACTGGGAAACAGGGCTTCCTTTGTTGTATTTCTGCGTGTTTGGCTGGTCATGCTGTGTGTTGGCTGTCCATTTTGCTTGCTTCTGTTTGTTTTCTGCGGAGCCGGTTCTAGTGGTTGCTTACATCTCAATAAGGGAATGTACCCCTTAGAGTACATGGCTAGCTAGAAATGTCTTGTCCTAGAGTCATTAGTAACTGTTTGCTTTACAATGAATATAATGATTGGAGTTCCTGATTCAAGGCCCATAAGAACGACCAGCAGTATTGCAATTAGTGAATGATGCACAGGACCTCAGATTTCAGGAATTTTACCCTGAATTTTTGGTTTTGAACACTGATTTTCAGGGTTTTTTTAGGCCCCAACCCTGATGGAAAAGGTTTTTTTTTTTCAAGGCCCACACTGATTTTCCAGCTAACTTTCTTGTACGAGGCCCGAAATTTCATCCTACTTTTACTAAGGGGCTCTGGTTCGAATCACTGAGCAGCGAGATTAGGGCCTTAGATTCGTTTTGGGCCATACTTATTCGTCAGTGTTGGTCCTCAGAACATAACTATTTATCAGAGCCCCTCAGAAAATGGTGAAGCGTGTGAAGTACATCCCTTCTTCTGAGAAACCGGCGACTTCCTGACGATGGCACCGCACTTTCCGACCTTCAACCGGTGCTGCGTCGCAATCGGTCAAGTTTGACTGGCCGACGTCGGCGACGTTGATGACGACGTGCAGCAGCACGTGTTGTGTGCATGCCGCCGAGGACGAGTTTTCTTTGTGTAGTTCTGTCGTGCGGGTTGGGAGCCCAAGCGTGAGCGCGGCAGGGATGTGTTGACGGGAATTGAGTGTTGGCCCCGCCCTCGCTTGGGCGAAGCCGACATTCTGGTTGGCTGCGCGGAAGGAGTAGCCGACCGTCCGCAGAGTTCTACGCCAACCTTGGCGTGCATGTCGACAAAGTTGGTTGACCTGCGAGGGACTGTTGCAATGCCGCCTTTGACGGAAGCTAGCGGTCAGTTTCGATAGGGAGGTCGACGAAGGCGGTTTTTGACCTATGCGCGGAACTTTTGAGGGGCTGTCAAAGATGGGAGTTCAACGGCAACAGCTGACCGAGTTGGTCGATGACGGGGCCCGTCGACCAGGGTGGTCCTTCATGGGAGTCATGTCGACGAGGGAGGTCGTCGACTAGGGCTCCGTGGTACCTAGTCGACCAAGTAACCTCCTCAACTAGGTTCTTCAGAGGCACACGAATGTCGTCGAGGCTGCAATGACGAAGGCCAATGCAACCGAGGCCAATGCAATGACTGGTATCCCAAGGTTGATGTGGACCGTTAAGCGCAACCGTCAGCACGTGGCGGACATGGCACCTAAGCGACGCTGCACAATGTGCTCGATTGTCGCCGCGCACCTGCGAAGTGGGTGTGCACTTGTGCTATTGTCACCCGCAGCTACAACGCTGGCAAGCCGTCTTGGTGTAGCGTTGGCAAGCCAGCGACTTTCTCTGCTGGCAGGTCTCCCTTCTGCAACGCTGGCGCGATGCTTCTACGCAACGCTAGCAGATATCGACCTTGCTACGCTAACGGTCATCCAGCTTGCCTGTTAGATTGTTAGGCTAAATGTAGTCATTTTTGCCATTGCTTTTGCTATAATGGTTGTTCTCAACTTTTGCTAGTGAAACTCTTGCCAACTTTCATCGTGAATGCACAAGTGCTAGAGAACGAGCTCTGCGATCACTCTCTCACTCACTCATTTCCAAAGCATTGAGAATGGTCGAGCGTTCCGAGTACTTAATAATGTCTCCGCGCAGCACTGAGTTAAGGCTCCCCACTCCCCACAAGTGAAACCTACACAGCTGCAGACGCTTATAGAAATGTTCCATGCCCATGAAAAGTTGAAACGACATCGAATAAAACCTTCAACCCAGCTTCAGGTGAAAGTTGAGATAAAACTCGAGCTTCGTGTGTAGGATCTAGGGATAATTACTATTTCTATGTTATTCGGAGCGGCACTCCTCCTCGAGGTGCTCTGCAAAAGACTGCACATCTAGGCGATGGTGGGCAATTGTGCATCCCGCTCGGCATGGGACTGCGGGACGTTGGAGAAAATTGGGGAGTCCTCCAAGAATACCCCATTCACGACAATGATGGTGGACGAGATCAGGCTACCCATTCACGGAGAATCAACCCTTGAGTTGCAGTTAGGGACACTGTGGTGGAGGGCTATGCTTCTTGTCCCGAACATTAAAGGCCTGGATTCCATCTTGAAGAGATTTGTTTTTTGTCCTTTTGAAATAGCTTAACCCCGAGAATGATGGGTGAACCGAAAGTCGTATATCTACAACAACGGGTGACGTATGAAGCTACGAAGCTGGACGAATATGGGCGGGATTCCTGAGGCAACACTCACTTCACTCGAGAAAACGGTGAACGAGAGTAACATGGCTTAGTTGCCGCTGGTGAGGGTAGCAAATGAGGAGAAGCCAAACTCCGAGCTACCTGCAGCAATACTGGAGGTTCTGGAGGAGTAAAAAGATGTTACACCGGATGAGCTATCTGTAGTAGGGTCCCGAGAGCGGACTCACTTGCATTAGAATATCAAAGAACCAGTTTCAAAAACCAACTTTCCGTGCTCCATACCGCCTTAGCCCATCATATCTAGACAATATGAAGAAGCAGATTAAGTGACTTCTAGATCATGGATTGATCCGACCCTCCGCATCTCCCCGCGACGCACCCATTCTTTTCACGTCAAAGTTGGACGGTAGTGCATTGACTCCTGGGCACTCAAGAAACAGATGGTGAAAAATAAATTTCACATACCGCGCATAGACGACATACGTGATGCCACAGTGTTTTCGAGACTGGACTTGCGGTCGGTTTCTGGCAAATCAAGTTGGCAGAAAACTCGATCCACAAGATGGTGTTCCGTACAGGTACGGGCTCCTACGAATACTTGATGATGTCGTTCGGACCCTGCAAGGCACCCGCGACGTTTCAGGTAGAGATGATCCACCTCCTACGACCCCTGCTGGACGAATGCGTGGTGGTGTACCTGAAAGACAATAAGATCTACTCCAGAGGTATGAAAAAAGGATGTAGAGCGTCTACGCAAAGTCCTCGAGATACTTCGGAAAAAAACACATCTACGGAAAGCTGTCAGAGATCGACTTTGCCTTAGAAAAGGTACAATGCCTTGGGCACATGGTGAGTGCCGAGGGCGTACACGTAGACCCGCGGAAGATCAAAGCTAAAAAAAAAATTGGGGGTTTCAGAATACATCAAGGAGTTAGAGTGGTTACTACGCCTACTACTACAAAAAGGTTTATGCCGCAGTACTCAAAGAGCAGCACCCCTCATGAACTTACTAAAAACCACCATGGAGCAGCTATAGCCAGCTCTGAAAACTGCCATAGGAATGATCCTGCTCACAAGACAAGAACTACCTGGTAGAAGCTGTTGGTGCAACCCTACGGTTTGCACTCGGCTTGTTGTCCGTGTGCGTGTGCGTGCATGCGTGTGTGCATGGAGTGGTATGTGTGCATGAAATAAATACATATATCATGCTTATAATGTTGTGTGAATGATGGGTCATGATGTCAAGTGTGTGTGTCGAGTCAATAGCGAGTTATCGC